GGGCAGGAGTGAGCGGTGCTCGGTGCCTGCCACCTGGCCCTTTTCCTTTCCTGCCCACTTGTGGCCAGCTGTGTCTTGCTGGTTCTAACCATGCTCCGAGTCAAGGGTAGTGGGAGATACACTAAATTACGGGGGGAGTTCCTAAGGTGATGCTGGCGTTGTCCCTCCTCCCATGGGCAGAGCTTACCTCAGCCGGGATCCAGCTGGCTTGTTGAACAGCTGTCGGTGAGTGCTTTCCTTCTTGTTGTGCAGACTGTGAAAGGAGGGTTTTCCGAGACCCGAATAGAGAAGCGCATCATTATCACAGGAGATGAAGACGTGGACCAGGACCAGGTAGGAGCAGGACACCCTGGCTTTGCCCAGCTCTGGCTGCCCCCAGCTGCAGCACCACATGTTTCTGGTTCTGGATCATACCAGTTTACTCCTTCTCTCCAAAACCTGACCCCTGAGCCCCCAAACCTACCAGCTCTGTCCGGCAGAGACACCCCATTGTCCATGGGGTGCAATGGCCCAGCTCCCATCAGTGCCCATTGCAGCAGTGAAGCAGCGGGTTACATCCCAGCACAGAGCCCAGTGATGGGATCACCTTTTTATTTTCTTAAAACGCGTTTCCAGTTGCCCTTTCTCTGTTGAAATACTCCACAGAGTGACCCACGTTCTTCCTCTCTTTCCAGCACAGTCTCACTACAGGTTGACTCACTCCAAGTGATGGTGTTTTGCATCTGCCTCCGTGATAGAGGAACAAAAAGTGGCAAACTTTTATGATGAAATAACAGACTGACACAAATCTCTGGGGCCACAGGGTCATTTTCCTGTGGCCTAACCCTTTGGGATTCGTTGCTTAAGAAGAAAAATTGAAGAGCTAAAGTGTTTAAAAGGCTCTAAAATAATTTTTAGATTTTTTTAGAATTATAATAATAAATTTAATTAGATGATTATTGTAGATTTTTCTAGGGTTTTGCTGCAGAGAGAATTGCTGCTGTTCCTTTGCTTGGGTTTCAGTAAGGAGCCTGGGACATAGCGCATCTCTACCAAAAAAAACAGCAAGAGAAAGGCAGTGCATGAGGCATCCCAATGGTGTACGAATCCCCAATCAGTGGTGGGCTTCAACCTCTTCTGCCAGGCTACTGTGGGTTCAGCATCCGTGTCCTCCTGGAATCCCACTCAGCTCCAGCTGCTTTCTGTCCGCTGTTTCTGTCTGGCTGAGAGCAAGGTACCAGATTTCAGGGAAGTGACGATAAATGCTCTCATCCTTCTGGTTTCTAGGCACTGGCTTTAGCAATCAAAGAGGCAAAACTACAGCATCCTGACATGCTGGTAACCAAAGCTGTGGTATACAGAGAAACAGAACCTTCTCCAGAGGAAAGGGACAAGAAACCTCAGGTAGGTAGAGAAGTTACCATGTATGATTTATACCGGCTGTGTAAGGGGAGGATGTAACTGGGCAAGTGTCTCTGATTCCCACCAGCTGCAGATGCTGGTAGGTGTTGCTGCTCCTCAGCACTAAGAGTGGCAGCTCTCAGCCAGCAGTTCCAGTGTGATGGTGGTTCCGGGCATGGCCACCTGGTTGTGGTTAGAAAGCCAGTGCCATGCCACCAAAAGCAATTCTGCAGATGTCACCTTGCTGTCCTGCTCAGCAGAGGGGTCAGGGTCATTTGCATGTAAAGAAGAAAGGACCTGCTTGTCCCCCTGGGGCGGGGCAGGAAAGAGGTGATACAAGTTTTGTGGATAGGCTGAGAAACTTGGCTACAGGTTCTGCAAAGCCAGTCCAAAGTATCAGACCAGCGTTTGCAAAAAAAAAAGAGGTTTCTTTAGTCCCATTCCGATCCCCAGGTTGTCTTTTTATACACATGCAGGTGCAGGCAGCAGCTCACAAGGTTTGCACCTCCCTGCGGATGCCCCAAAGCAGTCAAAGCCCCAGACATTTTTCTTCAGGGCAAAGCTGGCTTGAGGAGTCCTGCCCCACTCTTAACCCCCTACTTTGATGCCGTTGCTCCCCCATCAGCCGGGTTGCTGCAGGTCTTCGGTGGTGGCACAGCCCAACAGACCTCTGTGTCAGAGCAGCTGAGGGGCAGAGGAGCATGGTGGAAAGGAGAGGGGGAGCTTCTGAAGGCAGCTTCACTGCTGAAAAATGTATGAGGAGCTCTGTCACCAGCCAAGCTGCAGGTGCATTTCGAGAGGCCTCTTTGAAAATATGATTTTGTGTTTTTTTATCATATGAAGATTTCGATTGGCAGCTTTTAAGCTTGGAAAAGCGACCAGCTCTGTTGAAGCTTGGAAGGTCAGAAGAGGCTCTTGCATCTGCCTAATCTTACCTCCTATCGCACAGTACAAACAAGCAAGCCCAGACGCTTCTGCATCGCTTAGGGAGCCACCCAATTTTAATTGGATGGCTTAAAGTAAGGGAGCCGTGACTCACCGTTATCTCCCCCATACACCAACACCAGCCCAGTGAACTAAGAGTTCCTGCTAATTACCAGAGGTCCTGGTGATTAAGTGCAAACTGTGGCCCCAAATTCACTGTCCAGTGCCCTCATACAAAGAGGAGCCCTTTTATAGCCAAAGAAATCAGCACCCCATGACTGGTCATTTCCGTCTGCCTTGTACAGGAATCTTGACCAACATGTTCATGGAAGTCGGCATCTGTATTCAAACCTGGAGAACAGCGGAGAAGGAGCCTTCATGCTGGATTTGTCAGCAAGACATAGACATCCTGGCTGCAATGTTCATGGCGAGAGACAAAAATTTTTAAAAAAGGAATAGCAAATATATTATATATATATATACATACATACATATATATATATATATAAACAGGAAACAAAATGCATCCTTGCACTGCTGCTATATGCTGGAAATGAATAGCAAACACCACCAACAACAAACAAAGCCAACCCTCTGCAGATAAATTGAAGAATTTACTGGATTGGTGATAAAATAAGATTTAAAAAATCATAATAATAACAATAACATTGTTAACAATACAATAAGCCACCATCTTGCATGTTACATTAAAGGATACACAATCATGAGTTCATTTGTTGCACACTGAATGGAAAGGAAAACTGCTTTGCAACAAAGCAAGAAATAAGCAAACTGAAATAAAAAACCACAAGCAGAAGCAAAACCATTCCCCACCTCTGGAAAGAAGAGAGAAAAGCATTGAATTTATTACCTTAGAGTTATTTTCTGATTCGCAAGTGTCATTTCGCCCTTCTCCTCATTCCATGCTGGTTCTTTTGCATCTTTTGGAGTTCTGTTAACTCTTCCCCTTCCGTTCCTTATCTTCTTCTCTGTGCACTTGTCCAACCTCTTGTTCTCTGAAGGTATTTAACAATGGATTTCAAACAAAACAAATGATATGTATATGGTTTCTCATTTATAAAAAAGCAGCCTGTAGAGGTTTCATATGGATGTGCATTTAAGTTATGTATATTATTATATATAACAAGGGGGGAGGGAGGGAACAATACTGAAATAATTCAACAGTGCTGGTAAATATGATGACGACATTTTAAAATTATTAACTTTTGATTGACTGTGGTTGGTGTATTTTGAGACTCTTAGATCACACGTGGGACTCTCAGTCCTGCAAGAAGAGAATGGGGAAGGTTTCAGCTGCTGCTGTTCTGGGGGGGAAGGGGAGAGGGTGAGAGACGGGAGATGTCCCGCCGGCTGATCTGTAGTGTATGGTGTTTGGATTTGGAGGGTCAGTGGTGACTTGGAGGGGCAAGGAAGGAGGTTGAGGCTGTGGCTCCAGCAGCTGTAGGCAGGATCATCTCCCCGGCCTCCACCCAGAGCCACGGCAGTCAGCTGGGAGCAAGGTGGCAGCTGCAGGACTGTGTTCATCGCTCCTCTCCAGCCCACTGAGCCATGCCGCTGGTTGGGGTGGTTTTGCTTTGTTTCTGGATCCCAGTAATGAAGTTACTTGAGCTCTGTAGTAGGGTGGAAGGCAGAGGGGTTGTTTCTGCCCTGCCTCCCCCGCTGCCCAGGGTGTGATGGCAAGGGCAGTCCGAGGCGCTGCGGGCTGGTGACAGCAATGGTGGGGCGATGGCAGTCCTTCCCCCCACCTGCCTAGGGATGGGCAGTGGAGAGACACTGCTGTCTCCATCACTGCAGAGTGTCCCCAGCACCCCAGGCTGGATGAGAGAGTCCAGGCCCTCTGCGTAAGAAGGCGCGTGTCGAGGAGATGTCAGTGGAGCTGCCTTCCCCAACTCATCCCAGCTCGGCCTTTAGCCACAGGCTTTCTCTATGGCTGCCTTTGGAAGGGGATCATGGGCCAAGCCCAGGGCCTCGTACACTGTGAACCAGGCAGTTAGGGTAGACTTGGAACCAAAATCAGAAAGGAAAAGAAATAAACAGGTTTCCTTCTTGGAATCGTCTCTAGCTCCTGCGGACACACAAGGGCCCACGATTCTGCACCATTTTGCCTTTAGTCTCCCAGCCCTCACACAGACCGTGCCCAGAAATAGGTGCGTTTTGCCAGGTCCTGCAATGGCTCGGAGGATGACAGCAAGCAAGAGAGCCTGTGCCGTGAGGATGTTGTGGGCAGACCCCGCTCACCGCCTTTGCTGTCCTAGGAGAGAGACTGCTCCCCGGCAGCTGCGGTTCACCAGTTGCTTGGAAGTATGTCCCCGTGAAGTCTGTTCTCCTTCTGGCAGAGAGGTTTCTCCTGCAAGCGTGAAAGGCATGAGCACAGGCTGCTTGGGAAGCAGACAGAGCTGCTGGCTAGCAACAGTGCTGCCAGGTCGTGAGGGTCTCCCCAGCTTCCATCCAAGCGCCTTCAGCTACCTTTAGAGACCAGACCCCCAACCAAAAAAGAGTTAAGGCAGTTGCAAAGAGGCTACTCTTCTCTCTTTTCTTTTTTCAATACATCCAAACCAGCTGTAATCAGCAGTGGCACTTTCAGAGAGAGAGGCGGGGTGGCGGAGGACTTGTGGTCTGCACATGGTGCTGGTGTTCATCAGCACACTGCGTGTTTCATACTCGGAGGAGCCCAGCTGGCTTGGACACCTTTACAACCCACCAGAGGCTACTGTGAAACTAGATATTGCTTTTGACATTGTGTACAGTTACAAAATCGAAGGTTACTGTTAAAATTAGTGGCCTTACAGAGTTAGACTTGATGTGCGCTTGGACTGAAATGAGTTACGTTTGGAGTGAGCAGATCCAGTCCCTGGCTTCCACAGCGTGTTTAATGGATGGTAGTGTTTAAAAACTTTAAAAAAAAAAAAGAAAAAAAGGAAAGAAAAAAGCTCAGTGCTTGTTTGCCTGGCGAGGTGTGGGTTTCTGCTGCTCAGCAACAACTGAGGCCCCCCCAGGCTCAGCTCCCCCAGCCTACCCATCACCTTGCTCCGTTTCAGATAGCTGATCGCTGCTTGTTTTCTTCCAGGGGCCTTTCTGTTGAAAGGGGTGGGAGACACGAGTGCCTGTTTTTACCTGATCCCACAAATTCATTCCAAACCTGGCCTGCGATTGCATGAGTAATAACAACAGTAACAATAATATTTATTTTTATTTGAGAAGCACCTTACCAACCAACTGCAAAGCTCTGTTGTTCTTTCACTAACTCTCCTTTTCTCTTCCCTTGTTCTCCCTCTCCCCCCTTCGGTCATACTCCTTTTCAGTGCTCGGTGGTGTATGCGTGTGTGCTCACTGTTCTTGTATTCAATAAAAGTGAAATAAATGTGTTTGACGCTAAATCAGCTGGGGGCCTCAGTGGACTCTTTCCTACCCAGAGGATGGAGAAGTGAAGGGGGGACCTTGCAACCGGGGTCTCTGCACATGGAAATACTGGACTTTGCTCTGTCTAAAGCGAAGATGACGCCAGGCTGGGTACTGCGGCTGGCGGAGCTGGGAGCAGCTTCACGCAGCGAGAGCCAACCCTCGTACACACGCCTGGGGCAGCGACGGTGGTTGTGAGGATGCTCAAAACGCAGAGACAGGAGGTGGCAGCTGTCCCTGAGGAGCCTGACCCTCTCTCTCATCCTGGGAGGGAGGACATGGTGCTGTGAGAGAACTGGTGAGGCCGTACCTCGAATACTGTGTTCAGTTTTGGGCCCCTCACTACAAGGACATCGAGGTGCTGGAGCGTGTCCAGAGAAGGGCAACGAGGCTGGTGAGGGGTCTGGAGCACAAGTCCTATGAGGAGCGGCTGAGGGAGCTGGGGTTGTTTAGCCTGGAGAAGAGGAGGCTGAGGGGAGACCTCATCGCTCTCTACAACTCCCTGAAAGGAGGTTGTAGCGGGGTGGG